GTCATCTTGATCCGCTGTAAGGAGGAGTACATAAATATAATAAATGGGCTTTACAGTATGTCGCCATGCAACAGTTAAGTCAGATTTGGTACATGCATAGATTGCTCTCCTGTCTACATTGAGACAGCTCCATTGTCAGATCAGCTTTATTTAGAAATTGATTCTTATATGTGGCCTTGAATGCTTGAAATTTCCTTCTCAAAACCCTGTCAGCACACAGGGACAAGGACTGGGGAGAATCAATTCAAATTAATTTCAGAGATGAGGTGTTTCTGTCCGTTACTTTGAGCAACTCTCTTTCTGATTAGATCCATTGCCTGAGAGTCTGTTCTGTAGAAAATGAAATGAAAACATGATCGCTTTCTTCGGTCTTAAGGGGGATAGAATTGTTCATTGTCAGAGTTGCAGGAGCAGTTTAATGATATGAAAACCTGCATCTTCTGCTGCGTGATCAGGCTCAGGCACTGAGGGCTTGGTTCTAATTGACACAAACAATGGCTCGTGCACTTGCCTGCATTAGATACTGTAAGTATTATTGTGCAGTATATACACTGAGGGGAAAGTGGGAATGCTGCCTGTGTTTAAAGTTTGTAATACCAGAGGAATTAACTTTATTTGCTGTAGATGATGTTTAAGGTCGTGGTGTTGAACTATCTGTGTTGGAACTAACAGTTTTAATTAATAATACATTTTAAATTAAATGTATACCTCGGTCTGTTAGTCTACCATGTGCATAGTTTAGGTGCTTCTAGAAAAGTGGTATTTGTTACATTTTATTGTTAATTCACTGCATATCTATCTATCCATGTATCTATCTACCCATCTATCCATGTATGTATCTATCTATCCATCTATCTCAAGACAGAATGTGCTCTGTTGGAACAAGATCTGACAGTTTATCTTTAACTATTTAGTAAAGGGTGGTACTACAAGTTGTACTACAATGTTTTTGGATTAGCCCCTCAAAGAAGCAGTTATTTTGTAGAAGCTAGGTACATTTCTATCTACCTTCATGCACCTTTTTCATTTTTAATTGAAACACCTGAGTGGAAGCACCATAAATTTAAGAAAAGGTTGATATGTTGAAAAACCAAAATGGAACAAATAACCCCATATATTACACGAACTGCAATGCACCAAAACTTCAGATCTGTGTGGAGTGGTGAGAAGTTTTACATTCCTCAAAGTAATACATAAAACAAAACAAACATTTTTTAAACATGATGTTTCTCATCATTTGAGGTTTAGAAAACCCATATTAATGCCATGTTTGTGGGCAGATTTTCAGAAAATATGGATTGAATTTGAATAGAAACTTGAATAGTTTCTATACAAGCATTTTCTAGGTACAAATCAACAAATAGACCACAAAAAATAAGTATTATATGTTCAAGGTAGTGCCAGTGTCACATTACAACCCTTGGTATGTGTTATTGACCAGCCAAGCCACTTGGATTCAAAACTATTTTGATAAGGATGAGGAGCAGCGAAGTATAGAAGTAAACGGAGAAAGTTTTGGATGATTTGTAAAGCACATTTTTGTAAACAGAAATTTGTTGACACAGCAGCCCCCTATAAGGAGCTCTTCACTGCTTTAGGACTACCCAAATAGCTTTGCTGAGAGCATGTATTGAAATGCAGTGGTGAAACAAGCATGTTGTTATGAATAAAATGAAATAAGAATGTTTGGCCTTATTGATTTAGTTTCACAGTCCTGTCAAAAAGACTCCTTCCTTTCACTTCAGGAGGATTACTGTTGTAAAACCATATGTACTCTAAGTATAGAACACATTATATACATGCTTTTCATTGTAGACAAATTGGCTAACAAGGATTCTGCAATGTGAAACAAGCATGACACTTAGAAAACTGACCAAAAGAATGCATTGTAGTGTTTTCCCTTTGTAGAAGTGGAGGTAAGGGCGCTGAGATGAGTCCATCCATCAGCAGCTCAGACAGATGACTTACAGCTCCAACAAAGGGATTCACTCTGCTACAAAATACCACAAGGGGGGTTTGTGCAGAAAAAACATACATCTCTTTTGGACAGCTACCCGGAAAGCCTGAAGGTTGCTTCCCATCTTTGATCACTGTGAGCTCATCTACAGCACTGCTCCTTGGTATCAAATAACACTGAGAAAACATGCTGCATAGTGATCAGGTGAGACACAAAAGGTGTTTTAAAGGAACAAAAGCTAATTGGAGGTAATATGACACCTGCATTGGCTCGAGGGTAGCATGGCAGGTGTACAAGCTCTAACAAGCTCCTACCACCGCCGTCGCCTGCCAGGCCTGTCTGACTGACATGGCGTTTCCCTAGACCACAACAATACCCGTGGGATTCTTGTTATTGTGTGTGCTCTCAAAGGCGCCTTCTGGTAGCCCATAAAGCACCAACAGGCTTGAGACTCTGAAGTCATTCAATTAAGAATTTACTGGACTATTGATTGCAACACAAGCAAAGTGTTTCACATCTTGGAAACGATAAAAAGCCTTTTACCAGCCCTTCACCTAAAGAGGTGAGGACTTGATCTTCATTGTGGAGAAAGACATGAAAAGACTAATGCAGTGAACGCATGTAAAAACTGTATAAATACAGCTTTCTCTAACTTGAGTTATCACCTTTACCGATACCTTGGCAGCTACTGTGACCTATTACACAATTCAATATTAAAAAATGCACTGTACTCTGGAAATGATCAGTCTTCCCTTTCACATCTCTAGCAGGTTCAAAACACAGCTGCTCATCTGCTGACAAGTATTCATAAACATGACCACATAACCCCCTATTCTGGCTTCTCACCACTGCCTTCCAGTCAGTTTCTTTTAGACATACCAAAGGCTAGATACAAGCGCTGGTGTGACTGCACTTTTGCTGTAATAGCCCCAAAACTGTGGAACAGTTCACCAAATAATACTGGATCTTCAATGGATCTGCCAGGCTTTACGTTACTGCTTACAACATATTTATTTTTCATGGCCTTTGGATCATAGTGGAGTTGACATTTCTCCTTTTTGAATGTTTTATTGTTGCGTTTCTCACTCTTTATTTTATTTTATTTGTATGTGGCTTATGCAAAGTACTGTGTTCAACAAGTTGTTTTTAAAGTACTATATGAAAAAATTTAGATTTTATAAACTGTGATTATTTAAGAAAAGTGTAGAAAAATTCATCATATGTATGCACATGGATGTTACTGATTCACTTAGATCATGAAATGTGTAAATGCAGGTGATGTGTTGTTGTTGAACAGTAACATGAGTTTTCAAAGACAGAACAGAATGAGGACATTTTTGCCAGTTTCTCACATAATGAAACAAATGAAAAACTTCAGTTCATTTAGGATACAGTTAGGCAATTGGAGAGCAATTTGTATATCACATCACTGAAAAGAATACATCCAGACCCCAAGCCAAGCAACAGCTGGATCTTTGTCAGGTCAACTAAAGGCTAGGCAATACAGTGACTTACTCAGGTCTCAGGATTTTGTCATGGTTAAACCTGCAACAGCTGATTGTTTGGCCACTTGGGGGCAGCAGAAACAAGCTGCCCTCTGAGTTCATGCTGCAAAATGTGTTAGTCAGTTGCTGTTTCAGAGATTCATTAGTAATGGAGCAACTTTAGCTTAAATTTGGAAAATGTAGCTCTGGTTTAATCTCCATTATCTCCTGAGGGAGATATGTAAATGCTTCACAATATTCACCACCTAGCTGCTAACTTTGTTTCCTGTTTGGTGCTGAGGAGGTACCACACAGTGGGGTTTTAGTACCTTTCCCCTGAAAACAGTTGCCTGCTATGGCCAAACCCTGATGAGAGCAGCGAGGGTGACAAAACAGTAAGGTTGTGGGGCAGAAAACTTTGAAACATTTCACAGTAACAGTAAAACTGCAAAAATATGATTTTACAACACTGTCTTCCTTAATACCCCCAAATACCTGCTAAGTTTATATCTATTATACTGTATCTCCTGAGACTCAGCTGTGTCTGGAGAGACAACATCCCAAAATCAAGGTTGACAAACTCCCATTTTGTCTAAGGGTGTCCCTTTAGAAAGAAATCCTCCTATAAGAATCATAGAGGATGTTTGTTATTCACTGTGGAGCTTTACAAAATACGACTGTTGACACAAAACGAGCTGAGCTGATTATCAGGCCAATTGAGACTGTAATGAAAGCGAGACGGGAGGAGCAGGCGCTGCAGAGTATCATCTGGAGCGTAAAGGGAGTCCAGGGAGAAAAGGAGTGTAAGAGAGTTAAGTGTGGCCAGGGGAGAGTACATGTAGATGCTCAATGAATCACGGCGCTGCACAATGAAATCTTTATCCGTGGGGGATGAGACAGGGGACTTGGCAGAGCCCTGGCGTATCTTAGTGAGAGTGAAAAATAGAAATCCCACTGTCCCCCGTTGGCTCTCCTTCATGTCAGCTGCCTTGGTTACTAAGTTGGCTGCCACTGAGCCCCCACCACTCCAGTCCTCATCTCCCCGCCTCCTATTCTTCTTTTACGCTCTCTATCTTTGTCAGTCCATCTCTCCTTTACACTTGTGTTTCTGTCTATGCCTCCCCCCTGCTGATTCCCACTCCCAGTTTCTCCCTGTCCTCCAGCGTCTTTTCATGTCTTCCTCTCTCGTTCTGATTTTTCTTGTCATGGCCTCTTGTAGCTTGTATTAACAAAAAACACTTTCTCTTTTCACTGCTCAACTTTACCTAATTGTTGCATCATTTTCACTAGATGAGACTCTGTTAAATAAAACGAGTGCACATTACTGCTGCTGTCCAAAGTCAACACATCCATGACTGCAGAAACACAAACTGGAAGGAGACACGCTTCATGCATGCTCTTAAATGCAGCATTTGAAGACTTACCTTGCAGCAGGTTGTTCTGATCATTAAGTGCAACGAGTCAATATCAGATAATGATGATATAGTACCCCAGGTGTAAGTAAACATACTTGAGATGGTGCAGTATGAGCTCAGAAACATAAAACCTATAAGCCCTACCTCTTAGGTTTTCAGTCAGCTTCCTTTCCTTTACTGCCGTTTCCTCACTTTCTCCCCTTCTGACCTTGTCCGTGTCTGTTTCTGTCTTTTTGTTGCAGTCTGATCACTGGAGTTTTTGCAGAGAAGTCCAGCTGACCCTCATGCAGGAGAAGAAAAAATGACCAGAGAGCAAGAGCTGACACTTCCAGATCAACTCAGCTCCCTCCTCCTCTTTGCTCCTTCCAGCACTCAGGGTGAGTGGACAGTGGGACAAAGTAATCTTCAGGTGAAAAAACAGACCTTCCTTTCTGCCGGCGCTCTGACTCTCTCACCGCCTCTATCTCTGTTGCCTGTGCTCGCTCTACCTGCTCAGAGCGGTGTGGATGAGCTCACACAGCAGCTGCCTCTCTAGCTCTCCCTCTCGTGTCTGAGCGCTGTCCTGTTGCTCCATCCATTCCCCTTGTTTGTCTGCCTCTCCCTCTCTCTCTCCATCCCTCTATGGCTCATGAATATTTAAACATGGCAGTTGTAGCTGAAAGGCACTGAATTACCCCACAGGACTCAAAACACATGCTTTGGTTCCAGTTTGTCTTTTGTTCTTGCTTTTGCAGCGACCCTTATCTCTGTGTATGTGACCCTCCTAAACAGTACAATCAGTTCTTTTTAGGGGAGGTGAGAGTCTATTACCTTCGTGGTCCCTGCTCCTCACTGGCTTTTATCACCACACTGGTACAACAGTGACAGAAGATTACGGTCTAACATCGATGATGAATGTGCAATCAGGGACGCCACTACGTTAGATTAGAATGCTGCACACATGAGCACACATTATAAAAAAACTGTCTCATAAAATAATCATGAGCAATGGGAGAAATGTGTATGATTAATAGGTAAATATTTGGCACCCTCCTCCCTTGGTTAATTAATGATTAATTGTCCTTAAACAAGTCTAACTGGAGCTAATTGAAATATTGAGTCATTGGAAAACAGAAATCATCCAGCGACAGTTTGTGTCCCCGCAGGGTAAGGAGCATTTCCAATGAGCTCATCAACTGGTGTCTCGTGAATCCACAGATGTTCATATGTCAGCAAAAACAGTCGGAGTCGATGTTCAGATCTCTCATTTAAAGTCAAAGTGGTTATCTCAAGTTAAGCCACGTTTAGTCTTTAATTTCATGTCAAGCCTCGGTAACTGTGACTCGGATTTGATTGCAAAGAGGTTATGGCCAATCATTTGTTTTCTTCTAAGGAAACACACTGAGATCAAGGTTATGGATGAAGTATGTTGACACATGCAAAGCAGTTTGGTTGTTAATCGCTCTGAATAAACCAAACAGTTTCAACAGGAGGAACTTAATCATGCAGGCACATGTTCTGCTGCTGTTTGCACTGTCCTGCATGGTTTAGGGAGAACTTCCTGAGGCCATTCGCAATAATACTGCATACATGTTGTTGGCATTAACATATTATTACATTGCTGTAGTTATCAGTTTCCAACTGGTAGGAATCATTCACATCAACATGCAGTAGTACTCACTCTAAATCAGGAAATGAGGTTCTCTAGAAGTTAAATTTAATAATACGTGGATGCTTCACATCAGCCAAAGTCTGTTGTATGAGTTATTTAATCCAGATTTGGCGGATATATTTGTAACCCCTGTTACTTAGAGAAAATATGTAATTAGATTACAGTTACTACTCAAAATGTTGGTGTTTGCGAAGGGTTACAGTCAAATATGTTCTTTTGGGTAAAAAGCTTAAAATAATGCTTATTTTGTTATTGCCAAGTTGAAAATATTTTTAGAAAAATATACAAAAGAGTAATTAAAAGTAATAAGTTACTTTGAAGTGATTAAAATAGTTACATTACTTGTAACATTTCTAACAGGGTAATTAGTAATCTGTAACCTATTACATTTCAGCTTCTCAGCACTGGAGATGAGTTAGTCTTTGACACATGTTACACGTCAGGTTTCCTGTCTGTTTAGCCTACAGACTGGTTCTGAATATGAAAACGCACTGATCCAGATGCTTTGACGAACACTGCTTGATTTCACACAGCTCTCTGGCAGGTGGACAGGCCAAGTCAGAACAACTTTAATCCAAATCAAACACTACAGGTCTGCAGTAAATCAGCGCTCAGTTTCTCAGTTTATTAAGTGCATGCAGTTAAAGGTAATGCAGAACAGTCTGGCAATAAATTCCCTGTCCTCAAAGTGATAATGTTTTTTTAGTTGAAACCCTTTTTGTGAGATGTTGATTCACCTGTATGATCAGTCTGGAAGATGTAGTTTGTGGCTTACTGACAGGTATTATTTTGTCTACTGTATTTATGTCACTGAAGCTAAGCCAAATAACAGACACAACTCTCTCCAGTTGGAAACATGAGACTTGACTTGTACTCCAGAGACTTCACAATGGAGTCTAGCTCGAAGACATCAGCATTGACTCAGGGGTGCGTTCTTTTGTTTAACAAACATCTTTGGCTAAACCCCCCCCCCACAAATCTGTGCAAAAGAAATGACAGCAATTACCATCAAAACATGGTAGGAAATATCTCCACGCCGAAGTGATTTCCTGCTGTCCCCATGAGGACCAATGTGATTATGTTAACAAGGACGCCATCTGCATCATGGCAAATTACTGCACAATGCAATGGCATAAATACATTAATCAGCGTGACTGTAGGGCAAGATAAAAAAAAGTAGTGTACAAAAAAATCTCCAGGTGTTTCAGTTGATCAAGCAACTTTATTTTTAGCATACGCACATGAAGCACTTAAATAAAAAACTCTTAAACTGAAGATTTGGGAGAAACAGAAAAACTTGGACGAAGTGGCTGGAGTAGAAGAGCGCTACTGCTTCCATGATGACAGTTTTCAGGTTTGGATTGGTCCCCACACACAGTGAGTGTGTGTCTGTGTGTGTGATTGATTTCTTCAGTTTATCCTCCGGAGATGAGAAAGTTTGCATGTCTCACTCCCGAAACCTATAAATCACATCGATCAGTCAGGATAATAAGGCCTTTCCTACACATCCCCAGAGACTAAGATGAGAAAACAATTAGAGCAGCACGGTAAACCCGCACGGAGACAGAGATGAAACAAAAGTAAGAGCGAGATAGATAGATATAAAAAATGAAGGCAAAAAGGAAAAAGGCAAAGTGAGTATTATGCTGGTATTAACTGTCAAAGGTGCAGAAACAGAAAGTGTCAGGGAAAGAAATCATTAAATATTGAGCACAGTATGTTATTTTTGCACAGATATCTTCCCCCACACCGTTGCTGACGGTTTCCGGTAACCCTGACCTCCTTATTTTGTCTGTTGGAGTCATCCCAACCTTCTGTAGATCATAGGTTGATACTCAGTTTTTGCTTTCTGTTAGATAAAAAAATCTTAAAATATTTCATATTCCAGGCGATTGTTGTTTTCAGCAATCATAACTTTTATGAACTGTTACTATGTTTTGTCAGTTGGTTTACTTGCTGCCTTAATCACTGTGATCTAAGCACTCAGTTAAAGGATACACTTTTAATACTTCATATTTTTCTTACAGATCCCAGGAAAAATAATAAAACCAGCATCAAATGCATCATTTTAATAAGTATTGTGTGTGTGCAAAGCCTGATACACAGTATTATTGCTTTGTGCCATAGAGCTCCATTGCTGTCCAAAAACTATTAAAAACACATCAGTGAGTCACACTTTTGCACCAGAAGACATGTTTCTTCATTACCATGAACAAACACGTTGCACTGTAGTTTATTTGGACTCAATCCCACACACAGTGTCCTGCTAAGAGAAATACTCACTAAAACACCAAATGCGTATTAATCCACTTCTGAAAATAATCAAATGCACAAACAGTTTTTCTCTACAAAATTACTTTTTTAATCAGCTCTATTTTTGTAACTTATTTTTAGCTCTTCAGTAGGAACCAGTGGACGTGGAGTGCTTCTGATAAGGTAGGATAAAAATGGAGTAATGGTTTGTTGTTGTTGTTGCTTGGAAGCAGTTGACAATGAGAAAAATATACAATAATCCCAATTTAATTCTTCTAAAGCCTGACATTGATTTAGAAGTTAATCTGTTGTGTCATGTAGTTAGGAGAAACACATGTGGCTTGTTTTAATGTAAACATTGACACCTCAGACATACTGACAGGCTGAAGTGAAACAAGTTTCTATTCATCTAAACCACACAAATAACACTCCCCAAAGACAAGAACAAAAAGCCAAGCCAATATTCCCACCTAATTTTTATTACAATCAAAAGTACTGGCCACAGTCAACGGGTACAAGATGATCATTTAAAACTTTAAGGAGTGCAGTTTTCATTGTATGAAGCCTGTCAAACTGAGTGAAAGTTCTGAGGACAAAGGCACACCAAGCCGAGGTGAAAGAACTAGCAGCGATGTAGGCCAACTGCTGCCTCGCCTCATGTCACCTTTGTCTGGGCCAGTTGGGTTGACAGGGTCACCGACAGGGTCTGACTAGTGCCAACGGTGCAGGACACACCAGGAAGACGAGCCCCGGAAGGCGCTCTCCAACAGCCCGACATTGGCTGCGTGTGTCACAGGTCTTACATATAGGAAATGATCTGCCTTACTGCATTTTTCTTTATTAATATATATGGCAATTTTGAGATTGGCCAGTAATTTTAGTACATGAGTCTAGCAATTTTTTTTTTTTTTATGGAGAAGTTGTATAGAGTTTTAATGCAATCAGAAACAAAGCAGATGAAAGCGAGGAGCTGAACAAATCCATCAGAAATTGACAGGGTTTCTTGGAATGATACAAAGAGAGAGGGAGGAGTTCTTCATTTTGTTAATGGTCTCAGTAATATAAGATGTTCAGTTCTTGGTTTATGTTAGGATATTTTGGCACAAAGACAGTTGGAGTACAGATAAAATATTATTTCTGATGTTTTGGACTTTGCTTGAACAAAAAAAGAGATGAAAATATCAACATTTTTCAAATGAAGTTTCAATAATAAAAGGAGAATGAATGAGGTGTGACTTGTATACAGCATCAAAGAGGAGTCTCAGGGTTATATCTGTGTTTATTAATTATAATATGTTCCTCTGTCTGTTCTCACTGCTTAACTAAAAGTCTTCTTTAGATGCTTCACCCTCCCAGTTTGTCTAGAACCCCTCCATTTTCTTTCAACTCTGCGATATAACTTCTATAGAGATCTCGTGTCATTCTTCAACCAGGGATGATTTTGTGGTTTCTAACTGTTAAACAAGCGACAGCGTCTAGACCCCTATGTTTTCAAAACACAGCGCTGTTCTTCGAGCCCCCGGTCAAATTTTATTTATATAGCCCAATATCAGAAATCACAAATTGGCCTCAAGGGGCTTCTGTACTGCATATGACATGCTCTGTCCTTAGACTGTTGAAT